CACTCTTTGTATATTCAACAGGCTTAATTACATCTGGTAGCTTTGATCAGCATTGAAAATTGTATGTTTTCCCCCAGATAAGTTGTTAGGCCCGGTGGCAAGTATCCTTTTTACGGGTTAGGGTTAGGGTCTGCAACAGGCTAATGGCAGCATTAAGCTACGGCCTTATAGTTTCTGTGATAGCGGAATCAATGACAGAATCATGGAAATTAGATTTTTATTTATCCTTTGTGCTCTATCTATTTATTTCTATTGTTTCTATTTGTGCTTTATATATAAAGCTGGATTTGACTGGACTGGAAAAAAGCTATAACACAGATTCCACAGAGCTCCATATTAAGTCAGTGTTATGGTTTTGCGTTTTCTCTGCTTTCTTTCCATCTCCAAAGACTAAACAGACTCTGAATTCATACAGTCAACATCCAAACCATCATTAAGGACACATACATCAGTTCGGAATCTTTCATGGTTTTAGGTTTTCTGTGGTTAGTTCCAATTTTATTTCATAGTTTTACTCCCTTATGTCTTGTTTCACTTTACTTCCTGCCCTTTTGTGTTTCCTGCTTTTTTTGGCCCCACCTTTATTGTGTTCCCCTGTGTTCAATTAGTCCCCTCCTCTAGAGTTTATATTCCCTGTGTTACTTTCCTTCAATGTCAGTTTGTCGGTCCACTTTAGTGTCCAGTGTTCAAGCCATTTTCCTTGTGTCCTGTGTTTCCCTGTGTTTGGGATTATTACTGCCTGGTTTTGGACTCTGCCTCTGCTTTTTCCACTGAATTTGTTTGGCTTGTGGGAGCTGACCTTCTGTGTATTTTTTGGATCGTCCTGATCCTGTCTCCTGTCTTGCATTTGTGTCCTATTGCCAGTGATTTCACCAGTTATAACAGTCAGTGCTAAAAGCTTACCTGAGATCTGAACATATAAATCACGAACTATAGCACAGTACTGTGTTTTCAATAATATAATAAATTGAAGTTCAATTAAAGTAAGTTTTTACACTCAACAAAACACTTGAAAAACGTCTGATTGGCTACTGATTCTTCCTGCCTTGGGATGTTGGGCACATTTCAACAACAACAACAAAATAATTTTTTTTGCAAAAAGAAACTTGTATTCAAGTCCTGATTTGCTACTGTGCTGGATCAGCCACAGACACTGGACAAAAAGGACCTGTATCCGAAAAGATCCAACAGTTTACGTACATCTGAATTCAGATCTGCATATTTAATATCATAAAAATAGAAATCTGTCAAAGGTCTTCTGCATACAGTCCATGTCTTTGACAATTACCAAGGTATCACTGCCTTGGATTGTACTGTATTGTGTGCATTTGTGATCACTATAGGAGAGATAGGGTGAAAAAAATGTACTTGGGTTCCATTTGCTTATATTTGTGTCCTCTCCTTCTTGAGCACAAATTCAAAAAAGACAAAAAAAGTGCAAAAAGTGAGATTTTTTATCAATCAGTATTATTATTTATTATTTTCAAGAATTTAATCAAACATTTATTTGTGCTACTCACCTTGAAAATGCCCAGGGTAACATGGACCTTGAAACTGACCCATTCCTCGAGCTCTGCCTCCTCATCCATGGTTGGGAATTTTGTGGCAAACAGTTTTAAATTTTCAGTGCAGTCCCTCTTCAGAGCTCGTGGGCAGAGTGCATTGAGCACAGCTAGAATATTTATTTCTGGGAATCTCCTCGACAGAAGCTCAATCAGATGGTTCAAGTACGGCTCTATAACCTTTTTGAAAAGATGTGAAATTATATTAATAATAATAATAATACCATCTCAAGGAACTGAAAGAAAAGTTGTCCTCCTCTGTCGCTGTGTAATACCATACCAACTATCCATTTGGGACTTCACCAATTGATTTTAAAATTATCTATTTTCTTTTTAAATTCCCTGATGTGTAGGTCTGGCGGGGGCTTAACTTATAATATATATATATATACCTGCTGTACTAAAGATTTAGGAGGAAAACTGGCAAAACTGAATAAGGCATTTCTTTATTTCTTATTTTAATACATCAGACTAAACATTCAGGCTGTAAAAATCTGACAAACATTCACTGCCAACTTTGTTTCATTAGATAATTCATATTCAGTGCTATTTGGCCATGAAGGTACGCCATTTACTGTGCCGTGCTGTCCAATGGAAAACCATTCATGTGAATTTATGGCACAATTTGTCCTGGTTGCTTCCCCACAGGACTCATGTATAATCTTCTTTGTTGCTTACAAAGAAAGTAGAGCCTACCCGTCTCTCCTTTCCAATCTGTATTCAATTTTTCTTCACAAACACTAAAGCATCTTTTGCCAGGGACTCTCCAGCGATTTATAAGCAACTTCCCTTCCCTTAAAGTCTGTCCTGGCACCCACAAAAATCCAACATGACATATTTTCAATTCACAGCAAGCAGCATAAAATCTCACAGAGTAACACTGACTCCATTGAGAATTTCCCTTAATGACTCCCGGTTGGCACACTGTAAAGAATGGCGGGCTGGCAGAACTCTCTCCTCGTTCGATTTCATTCTGCAGATTCGACTGCTTTAACTCGATAAGATTTCTGTCAAGACTATGGAGGTGGATAAACTCAGAAGAAGGTAAAGTGACTACCAAATCAGCCATGGAGTGTGGTGAGAACGCTAACGCTGTGTGAAGCTACTTTACAAGCTAGTATACATGTGGAGATCAAGGCAGTTCATTCTGAGGTGAAAAGTGAGCTGACGTCGCTGTACACTGAGAGAAGACGTAAAGAAGGGGTTGGTTGAATTTTGTGCATTAACTAGGCCCTGGAAGCATGCTGGCAAAGTAACCCTAATTTAAAGAGGCACTCCAACACATTGAACACGCACAGAAAATCATGCAAACAAAATTTACTGACCTGGGATCAAAATCAGCAAATTCAGAGGATCTCTAATAACTGAATACAACACAGATAAACATCAACAGAAACTTTTCCCTTTGGTAATGAAATTAAAACCCCAGCGTGGTGAAATTATTGTGTGTTGTGCAAACATACAAAACATAGTTCAATACAAAACATATGATACATAACAGTTTTTGATGGTTTTACATTATTCAAAGTTTTTATACCAAGCATAATGTGAAATTGTGGTCTTCTGGAAATTATAACGTTTAGTATAATTACACTGGGCGATTTAAGTGGTATATGTGCATACATACCAATCATAGCTCAAACAATTTCTAAATTTGGCTGAATTATAAAAGCCAGAAGTGGCACTGAATGACTCCCATCGCTCAGTCAACCTCTTTGTCTTGCACAACAAGTGTGTGAATGTGAAGCACTTCTCACAGGCTGGTTGACACACCTGGATTGATCCCATTATTCTATATCAGAATCAGAAATACTTTATTGATCCCAAGATACAGTAGAGAATAAATATGTTTAACAATTTCTTTATCTACAGATCAACTTCAGCAGGAAAATATTGGTTTTACAGATGAAAAATATTACTTAGAATCACGCGACTGTTACATTGTTTTATTGGGGAATGGGATGGAAGGTGTTGAAACACTTTTTATATTGTTTTTCAGTAATTCAATTCAATTTTCAATTCAATTTTATTTGTATAGCGCCAATTCATAACAGAAGTTATCTCAGGACACTTTTCAAATAGAGCAGGTCTAGACCGAACTCTTTAAAGCATTAATTACAGAGACCCAACAGTACCACCATAAGCAAGCACTTGGCGACAAGGGCAAGGAAAAACTGCCTGTTAAAAGGCAGAAACCTAGGACAGATCCTCCGGCTCTAGGTGGGTGGTCGTCTGTCTCGACCAGTTGGGGTGAGAGAGAGACAGAGAGAGAGAGAGCAGAGAGAGAGAGAGCGAGAGAGAGAGAGAGAGAGAGAGTGAGAGACAGACAGACAGGTGCACAGCAACAACAGTATTGGCAATGGCAATCTAGCAGGACCGTGGCAGGAGGCTCCACCAGGATCGACAAGAACCTGCGAGATGAGAAAGCACAAGAACTCCGGGGAAGATAGATTTAGACTTTTTAATTCAGTAGAAGGCAGTCATTTTGGATGCAGACCGCCTCTAAAAAACAAAGAAGAAGAAAAAATAGACCACATCATCTAGATGAGCCTATTTAACAGTTGATTGGAGAGTGTCTCTGCTTGAATGGCCAGCCAACAGACACACATATGAGTTAAGTCCAGAATAATACAGCCAGCCATGGGAGTACGGAAGCCTATTGCATTCACTTGAATATTCATTTTTTTGGTTGGTTTTTCTGAGTAATTTTCTTCTGATTATCTGAATAATTTTTTTCCCCTGTTTTTCCGACTAATTTTTTCTGAGTTTAGAGAGCATTTGAAACAATAAACACATTCATTCCTTTATTGGAAGCTCGATTTAACAGAAACAATTTTAGTTCAATCAAGTTTTACTTTGATCTGGGTTTAAGACACTGGGAGATAGTTCTGTCTTTAAGTCATATAGATGGTATTATCATCAGTTTGTCGACTCTACGCAGGCACCTTTGTGGTTGTTCAGAAGGAAAGTCCACTCAGATCTGCTAGACATAGCAATGTCTATGGGAGTCACTTGCAGGTTGGAGGTTCTCGCGGGAGTTCGAAGTATCTCGATAATTCAGTAAAGAAATTACTCCGAAAAACGGGGGGAAAATTAGTCAGAAAAACAGAAAAAACTATTCAAAAAAACAAACAAACCAAAAAATAAAGAAAAAAATGATTTATTATTATTTTTAAGTGAATGCAATATGCTTCCGTAAGTCTACAACCTGAATGAGTAACATCACTACTGCCAGGTGTGCACCCAGCAGCTGATTTGCCGTTACTTGGGCAATAACGGTGCAAAAAAGTTGGAAAAAGGGTAATCAAACGGAACCGGGGGCGGGGAGAGAGGAGGATGTTTGGGTGTGTGTGAGCTGTACCTGCACTCAGTGATGGGATGGCTCCCTTCAAAAGCAGAATAAACACTATTAGGCTCAGGTATTTACTGCTGAATTAACAGCAGCAGGGTTTATTATGTAGTTAGTGAAACTGCAGCAGAGCAGTGTCAATGTAATCTAGCTACCTGGCTTGTTTGTATTAAATTAGTTTTTTTTTTGGACGGGGTGTCCCTTTAAGAGCCTCTCTGGCTGTGTCCGTTCGCCTTTTTTAGCCAGGTGCCTAATTACGCACGGAGCTCCCGGCGGCCGCTCTGCTGCCCGGCCTCCCCCTGCCTGCTAGCGCTCAGTGGTTCGCTCCAGTCGGCGCTCTGCTGCTGTTCATCACCGCCCCACTGGCCGGCGCGCAGTCGGAGCTTCAGCCCGGTTACCGAGCGCACACTGAGCCTCTCCGCCTGCCCGCTCTTCTCCTCTCGCTTCAGCCTCTTTGAGCGTTTTTGCCTCCTCCCTTGGTAGGTCAGTTCTCTCTTCCTCTCGTCCTCTACTCTTTCTTCCTGGTTTGTCCTCCCCTCTACTCTTATTTTGATTTTTTTTTTGCACTGAATTTTAGCGGCTGGTTGGATTTGTGTGTCTCTCTGTTGTCCTGCAAGTCTTTACCGGAGCTTTTACCCGCTGCTTGTTGCTGGAAGGAAGCCCATCTTCTGGCTTTTCTTGTGTTTATTCCAGTTTCTTTTATTTATCTTTGACATTTTCTCGCTTTTCATTTTAAGACACATCTCTTCTCTCAGATCTTACAAGATTTTTTTTTTTTTTTTTAATTTTGGTGTATTTAATTCTTCAGTTTGGCCTCTTTTATCTCATTTTTGCAGTTTGATTTGATTTTCCTTTTTTTCCCATAAAAGCCAAAGGGGATTAAAATGTCTCTTAAACTTGAATGTTGCGCACGCAGCGTGCCAGAACGCGGGATGAGGATGAGGATGAGGATGGTGATGGTTCTGATCAGCAAGTGTTGCACGGACAGCTGATCTTCATCCACGGAACTGCTCGTGTTTCTGTTGCTCTTCTGTTGAACAGTGATCTCGGTTGTGTCAGTGTCGGTGTGTGAATGTGTGTTTACAGCCACGCGCACAAACACGTCAGCATCCCCGTTTCGCTGTCGGTCCTCGTGAAGCAGACCGGGAGGAGCTGACAGGTCGGGTTTGTTACTCTGTCATGTCCTGTTCTGCATCCCTGATGTGTGATATCAGCAGACTGGCTGTTGCTCCATACAGATGTGAACCTCGCTGCACGCTGAGAATATTTGCATGACATCTCTTGCTCTTGTAAGCCTGCAGTCTGAATTGGGCTTTTTCTAGATTTGTTCTGGCATTTGGTGGACCAGAACTGAGTCACAGTGCACTGCGAAGATTTATCGATCAAGTTTGAAGAAGACGTAGGAAGCCCATCCAGGAATAACAATATTTAAAGGAATCCTTTAATTCCTGTATTTGTATTTTCCTTTGAAAGTTTCAGCTGGGTAAAAACTCTGCTAGTGGTGCATTCAAGTGCCATCGCAAATGAACAGGCTATAGTGCAGTTTGGCAGCTGACTCAAGTGTGATATGTATTTGAGCCTTACCAAAACAGCTGAAATCGGAGAAACATGTGTCTTAGTTAAGCGAGATAAGATTGTGAGTTGTGACTGAATTTATCTGGACTGCTGGAAGGGAGATCCACCTCATCCCAACCAAATAACGTCTGAATTTAAAGCCCCAGGATGAGCCTCATGAATGAACGACAAGTTTACCCTTTTTCATCAATAAATAACATTTTAAAGAGTCCTGTCACTTGATAAATGAAGGTTTGTGTTAGTAATATTGTCAAGTGTATGTCAGATGTTAGTTTGTGGGATGAAACACACAAAAAAAGGAGCAGAATACAGTATTTTACAACAGGCATGCAAATGAAAACATAGTGTCTGCCTCACGTCGCACCATAGTAACATTCTTGTGTTTAATGTGCACAGTGTGAAATGCACTCTGGGGCGTGGAGTCGGTGCTGTGCAGTAAGTTGCAGCCAGAGGCAGGACTGTGAGGCTCAGGGGAAGAGAAGAGTCTGCAGGATAAGATCAGTGAGGCTGCAGGCGCCTGCTGTGGACTGCTGGTGACTGTCTTTATTATTCTTAAACAGCATCTATGGAGGATTGATGATGCTGGTTTGTTTTTTTATGACTGTGTGTGTGGATCAGTCTGCTTGTTGCTGATGAGAAGTGTGTGCTAGCTTTGTGATATTCTGTTTGTAGCAGAACAACGCTTCATTATAAAATATGTTTCAATTACAGATGGTCCCAAACCCAGGTATTTGGCTCAGCACAAATAATTTAATCTTTTTAATTTCTCATGCCAAATGTCCAACAGATTCTGCTTTATAGCTCCACTAGGTCTTGCACAGTCTCACAGTTTGATTAGAGCTCCTCTCAGGTTGAAGATGGGTGGAGCTATGCTGAGAATTATTATACAGCTAAACTGAATTTTGCTCCACATTCATTTCTATGAGAAATGGGGCAAAATGCATTCTCCTCTGGTCACAAATATGCCCACATATTCTCTCTGCTTCGTGCAGAGATTAAAAAAGCTTTACAATATCCTAATGGTTTGAGAGACAGGGTGCCTGAGCTCCAATTCAGGAAATACTGATTGTTTAATTTCACAGCAAAGTAGGATAAAAGCAGCAGCATTTTTCAGCAGAAAAGGAACTGTCTGTACCCTATCTGCTCGGTTAGCAACTAGCTGGTAAATATAATGGAGCATTTAGCAGCTGAATAGTTGGTGGCAACCAAAAAACAGGGCTAAAAGAGACTGAACATTGGGCCTACATCCATTAGGTGGTCAGAAACATGAATCCAAAGGAATGATATTGTTGCTTGAAGTGTATATAAGCAATTGTTTGCTAAGATGTTCACCATATCAGTTTGTTGACTGATACGGTTTCTGCTGCCCCCCGGTGGCAAAAAAAACAGTTATTTCCATTTTAAAGGTTCAATTGGTGCAACATGCTTAACTGGAAAGGGACAGAGATGGCAATGGATCAGTCTGCACACGCCCACAAAGAGGTTTAATCTACTCTCAGCTCTACAGAACTCTTTAGCCCTGTTTTAGCTCATATCTTTGAATAACAGCACATTTACTGTAGTTCAGCCTCTCATCAACCTAATTTCCAGCAGCAGCAGGAAGCTGTTTTCTGTCCATCCACTGTACACTACCTGCAGACAGAAGACTGCAGTCCCCATGCCAAAATCTTTCGTGGTGCTGGATGAGGTCGCAAAAATTGCACTTTTGTTTAGTGCTTGTCAGTAGTTAGGCGGCAAGCGAGCTGCAAGCAATGTAACTGCTGTCGGGTGAAAAGCTTGCATCCCCAAAATGGAACAACAGGACATAGTCTTGGTGCTACGAAACAAAACATTTTAGGCAGGTTTCAGGTACAGGAGAGAAGATGTAATGCAACCCAGGAAGGCCAATTTGACTAACAGATCCAGATGAGAAGCCAAAACATTGTAGGCCTGTTAAGGAAAGAGATTCTTACTAGGAATGTACATTGCCACACATTGGATTGGCCACACAGCACACCTTCTGATGACAAATTGTGTTGCGGCAAAAGTAGAACCATGCAGGTTAATTTCTTTTTGCTTGACGTCCCTGCGTTTTTCTTCAGAGAACTGTGTTGACAACGCAGCAGCTCCATTGAAATTAATGTGTGGGCTGCATTTTTTTTTCTCTCACACATTTCCATTGTTTCTGTGCCTTTGACAGCTAGAAAGCTGGAGATTAAAGGTTCTCACCTGACAACAACGATAATACAACACTTGATGGTAGCACAGTACAGGCAAACACTGCTGAGTGACAATAAAAACTGTCACAGCGAGAACTACAGCGCTGGTTAAACGAGACACTGCGCTCACTATTCACACTGTTCATCATTCTACTACTGCGTGTGTTCAAGCTGCTGTTAGAGATTGAAAAGAGAAAAATGAAAACAAGGATAAATAAATCATGATTCAGTTTTAAACTTGGTCACGTTAATTATTCAGCGCCACTGTGCTGATAATGAATAGATGTTGCTGCACTTTGACTCCATGTGCAGGAACTCATTAGTGTTTGAGCTCTGCAGTGTTGTGTGATTTAGTTAGCAGAGGGCAATGAGGCAGTGTTGTTAAACATGTAGATTCTAAGTTGTATAAAAAATATTTCCATATTGATTTTTGTTGCATATTTATAGGTTTCTACAAAGAATGAATATTTGTCTTTTGTGGCATGCATTCAAGTTGGGAAAGATGTTGTGAAGAAGAAGAATTTTAGTTATAGTAACTGTAATACATGGTAAATCTGCAGTATGTAGGGTTAGGGTTAGGGTTAGTCACATGTACTATATATCAAACCTCAATAGTTTTTTGATAACAACCTAAAATGTGCATTAAACATCATACTGAATGTATGGAACATGTTTGAGTATGCAGGCACCCATAGTGGGTCTGCTGTGTGTACTCTTTTGGGTCATCAAGCCCTTTAGACATTCCCATGTAACACTTTCACCCTTCAAGAGATGCTTTTAGCTGAACTGACATGCTCTGTGTGTGTGAGAGTGAGTGAGTGTGTGTGTGTGTGTGTGTGTGTGTGTGTGTGTGTGTGTGTGTGTGTGTTTGTGAGTGGTGACAGGAGGTGTTCTTGCTCAAGGTCACTTCATTCAGGATATATGGTAGATGATTTACTGAACGTTTACATTGTATTGCTCAGTGGGTCTATGATCCAATATACAATTTGTAAAACCTAACACACTTTGTGTAGAAAAGTATTCTGCTGTTATACTGTTTTAAGTCATTGAACTTGAACTATAGATGTGTCTTCCTTTGCAAACGATGACCTGGATGTCCAACGTTTCCTCTCTGATTCTCAGTAGCAATACAGCTGGAGGGTAAATTCAGTTTTGGTTGAGCAGGCTTCTCTCTCTTTTTGTAGTGCATGTTGCATCGCTCCAAATGTTCCTCTCAGGGGGGGATCCTGTAATAGAAACTTGGATTGTAAAACTCAGGCTTGCAGTCCTTTGTAAGTGGGAGATTTCACATTCTTTCATTTTACCTTCCTATTCTCTGTAGTGGTGGTGGTAATTTCCTCGTGGAGTAACAATACAGAATGAGTAATGAAGAAAGCACCAGGTGGTCTCTTTTGAAGGAAAAAAAAGAAACCATGTTGTGCTGTGTTGCATGTGTGCACCTCTTTGTAGAAAAAAATATATTGTAAATACAAATATAGCTTTTCATGTTGACAGTTGAATTATAGAGTTTTAAAATTAAATCCAGAACCACATGTTCATACCATGCTATACAACCCTAATGTGTGCATTTACATTGACTGTTGACAACAATCCACCAGAGACGCTTAAGGCAATAACACTAATTTAATGGAGCTGCAACAAAGCACAGGGCTCTTTTCTACCAGATTTAAGAAAACTGAATACTTTCTCACAAATGTTCTCCTTAACTTT